GCAGGAAAGAGATTAGGTGACTTGAGCTTGTCACAGCAGTTTAGCAGAGGTGGCAAGTCTTAGTACTGTTAGGCTTTGTGTTCCATACCCTACAATGGTTTAACACTTGCCCTCTCTTTGCTGCTGCACACATTTTACATTAATATATAATTCATCTGTTAGTACCATTACTGAAGCAATGGTACTATTCAATTAATTATATAATTAATCTAAATATGGTTATCTCCTACAAAACCCCCATATTCAGCCTCAGCTGTAAGAGACAACTGTTGTTTAAGGACTTCTATGCCATCACTAACTGAATGCAAAGATACACTTCTAACATTAGTGGTCTTGTTTTCAGCTTCAGTTCTAATTTGTTTTAGAGAACTTTTGCAATTCTGCACAGAAGTTTGATTTTGCTTTAGTGATACTTGCTGTGAAACACAAGCAGCAAAACAGTCACTAAAGCTACTTGAAAGTAAGCTAACTTCTCTGAACTGTCAAGAAAGTTTTGTAGTGCATCTCCTGCAAGGAAAAAACAGACAGAATGGAGAGTTGTGACTTTCTGTTTCTCCCTCAATTTCCACTGCAGTTCTTTTAGAAGTTTATAGCCTCAAAGAGCAGTGCCAACATCATTGTCTCCAAGGAAGTCTCCCACTCTGATTTTCACATTCAAATGTAAAGTGTATTTGACATGAGCAAGAATTACAAGTTGTCATCTTCTGTTCAAGCGCTGAAAAGCATTTTAAGTGTTCATTTCAATCTGTATACTTATAGGTTAAATATGTCACATGTTTTCTGCATAAGACTTGGACAACTGAGACAGTAAAAAAAACAAACCTCAGTTACTTCAGATGTTGATGAGAACATAATTTTCAAGTAATTAAGCACGATTCCTAGTTAGTTATGGAACAGTCTTACTCTGTAACCACACACACTAGCAAAGAATATAAAGCATTTTTAATTGCTGTAAGATGCAAGTTTCCAGGTTCCAACTGCTGAGCTTTTAGAAAACTCGCAGCAGTTGAGAGTGTTTTATGTGCAAGCGAAATTGTTTTTCTGCAGGATAAATTCGATGGTAAAACTCTACGACTACTCACACTAACAAAAGATGACCCAAGATAGGTAACCACACAAAATAAATACTTTCACAGTCAAGAAATTAGTAGTTAGAGAAGTAGATTAGGAAGAGTCTGAGACAAAAGAACATGAAACTGAGCTGCAGTGCTTACAAGTCAAGCCAATAAGAGCAAAAATTTGTCCATTATGGGTGAAATAATTCTCCAGGGTAGATGTTACTGTAAAATAGCAAAATTGCCTCTTTCTTAGAGTTCACCATTTAGTAGTAACACTGACCTGAGGTGCCGTTACTCCAGAAGGCTCAAAGCCCTTTGCTTCTTCAAGTAAGTTTCTTTCTTCATTTGGCTAAAAGTAAATGAACAAAAACACACACCAAAACATATGTTCATGGAATGCTTAAGTGGTTGCACTGACTTGCTTAAAGCTGAATTTATACCGCACCAGCTGTTTTTCTTCCAGAGACAGTGAGAGCTCCCACTTCTTACTTACAGTGACAAGGGGGTATTCCCTGGCTGGCCGCAAGTCAGCAAGACTTTGTTTAACATATTCTTCAGCAACAAAAGCTTCCTTTAATCCAGGGAAAAGATTTTCATATTCTGTAGGATCAGCAAGGGACTCGGCAGCTTTTTGATTGACTTTAGAGAGATTCTCCCGCCACAGTTTCACAACCCTGGAGACACAAGCCATAGTCGTTACATACAGCTGATTTTGACAACGCTATTTATGGTCTGCATATGCTTTGAAGTTACCTTGAAACTTGGCTTGGCAAATATGTCCGTGCAAGAAAAGCAGCTTCTGGGAGACGCCCGGTTTTAATCAGGAGTTCCAAACATGAATCAAGCCTAAAAGATTTTAAAATGTGATTTTAACCAGTAAGTTTAATAAAGACAAGTTTTTGTATTAGATTAATATAATAGAGTAAACAGTTAATTTCAAGTGCTTTCGTTTCAGATTTTAACAGTAGCAGCCATCATAAATAGAATCGGCTTTCCTGAAAAGGCACATGCCACAATCTTTCTCCAGAAGTTTTAAGTTAGCTGTAGTTAACCATTTGAAGAACCTGAGGTTCTTTGCATTTCGGAAAGCAGAACAGATCAATCTGAATCTCATGCTCGCTACTTACTTTCCCTGTAGGAAGTAGCTCATAAACGCAACATTGTTCTTGCCATCTTTTTCTGCTCCTTCAGCTAACTTATTCACCATGTTCGCATTTCCTGAAGCCGTAGCCAGGAGCAGTAGTCCTCCATAGTCTTGTGCATGGTGGAGACACTCCTGGGCTAAGCCAAACTGGCATTTACTAATGGCAAGCTCAGCAAGTTGCTTCCATTTCTGTTCTGACTAATGGTACAAAAGAGGGGAGGGAGGGAAAGAAAAAAATGACAACAAACCACCCTCATTTTTGAACAGCATTTATAGATTTTTCAGAGCATTCAAGATGAAAATGTAAGGTGACTTTTGAAGGTACTATATGCCATCATTACACTTGTAAGATACATTACACAGAGAGTACAATTCCTGCAGCTTCACAGCATGACAGAGCGAGTGTTATATGCAGATCATTACACAGCTATACCACTACATAAAATAAACAGTTTTTCATTAAACATGGAGGGACGAGGTAGAAATCACTTTGGAAATTTAAACAGTAACAATCTCTTAAAGAAGGCTCTCAAGTTAACCTTCGGAATGTAAGACAGACATCTGTCTCTCTAAGTTACCACTCCTTATCACTAACTTCATTATTTTACAACAGGAACTATAAGATCAATTCTCTGAATAATGGCTACAGGACAAACTGCTGCCTGGCAGATTGATGCACCAGGGAGACTAAGTTTGTCAAGACTAGAATGAAGGCCCAGAGGCTTCAGTCCCACCACTCCTCCTCTCAACTGTTCAATACTGGAGATCAAGGCTTGATTCTTGGTTCAAGTTTTGTATTCTCCAGGAGTTCCTGTTGCTTTCTGAGCAGACAACATTTTTCTGACCCCATCCCACAGCTTAGATTCCTTTGAATTACAGGCAGGAGAGCTTCACCAAGGAAGCTGGAGGCACTGGAGTGTTCAGGGAGCTGTACTGCATCCCCACATACCACTGTCTTTTGTTACAGGGCCTCTTACATTCATGCTACTACTCAGAATTAATATGAATCACCAAAAACTGTATGTTTACCTCTGCTTCCACTGCAAGCTGATAGGCTATTTTTAATTCTCCAAGTTGAAGAGCAAGTTCAAAACGATGCTCTGGATCTGTAGATACTGCAAGAGCTTGTTGTTTGAAACCCTAAAAT